CTGGACATTTTGCGCCCAAACTTGGCAATTATACTAATTTCGGTATTCTCTCTTTAGCTCTGGTGATTTATTTCCTTTTTCAACTTTTCATTAGAATACAACGGTATAAAGCTAGCTATTTACCTTATTCTAATTCTTGACAATTTGAAGCCGAATTGTGAGGGTTATGTTTCATTATTTTCACTTATACTAACTAACATGAAAAAAACCTTAGCGAAATAACGCATTTTGACTAGGTTAGCTCAAATAAGAGGAAGCAATTGCTGAACATTTAACAATTATTCGCCGAAGGCGAGGTGATTATTGGGAAATATTTACCGAGACGAAAGTCCAGAATTTGTTTGCTTATCTCTTTGTAAGAAACGTCCAAAACGGCTAGCTGCTATTTTGAAGGTGAATATATAACAGCAAATACGTCAATTTGACCAATCAGAATGTAGGTTTTTTATATTCACTTGTGCAAAAATAATACCGGTAATTAATTTATACGTCATTGACTTTTCTACCGAAGCGAATTTCTAGCGGGAAGGAAAACTCATTCCGTGGAGGCATTTCGTAAAAATCGTGGTTGAAAAATTCAGTAAATAATCATTTGTCACCAATTCCGTGTAAAATTGTTATTGATAACATTGAAGAAACAAATTAGGCTTGCGTTTGCCGAAATATCCGTAATTCCTGGTATATACCGCGTGCAATATTTCAATAACGATTCTTAATCGATATCGCGCTATTTCCTATGCCGACTAGTTACATATTGCATTGAAATGAGAAACCGTTTGGCTGCATATGTTGGATTTTTTAATTGAGTTTCAAGGACCTGGGAAGTCTTAATTATTCATCCGAGTGAATATTATAAATTTATAAGGAAAGCCCTGATGAAGAGGTGAGCGCCCGTGTAAAGTTTGGTCAGGAAGATTGGTCTTGTATGAGTCATGACTAGTGACAAATGCTTTTGAAAATGCGGGCTTAACCTCCCTGTATATGTACGCCCGGGTAAAATCGTCATCCTTATCCAGAACCGCCTAAAAAAACCTTGGTGGCTACACGATGGATATTTGCCCAGCCTCGTCGAATGAAAATTCAGCTCGGGGCAACGAAAAAACATGACCGATATCAGGCCATTATTATACAAGTGAATGAATTATTAAGCGGCTTTCAAATTCCCAGCAATTACAACATCCTATTTAATTAAAAATCGGATCTAATTGCCCAGTTCATGTATAAAGACTCATTTCGAAAATCATCTTCAGAAACGTCTACCAGCTCAATCTGTCTCAGGTGAATTGAAATGTTGTCGCAATATTTAAGTGAAGAAGAAACCATAACCCTTCTTGGTGTTGTTGTGATATTTGCATTTGTTGGATTCGTGTTGAATCTCTTACTGATATTGTCAGTTATTTCAACGGAGGGCTTTGCAGACAACCCCGCGAATGTATTTGTATTGAGCCTGGCTTGCGCAGATGCTGCAATGGCCTGTGTGTTAGGTCCATTGTATGCATGCAATATGTATTATTCCACCTTCAGTACCTCACGGGCAATAAGTATTTTTTTTGCCTTAACGATTACCGGAAGTGTTTTCCTCTTGACTGTGAACCGGTACATCTCTGTGGTTAGACCTTTAAGGTATCCTACCATTGTAACTTTTAAACGAGCTCTTGCCATGGCCGGCGTTATATGGTTGGTCGCCTTTCTTGTCTTTGTTCTGGCTGTATTGAACTTGGATCTTTGACGAGATACCTGATCTGAATATTCAACGCTACATTGTCTCATTCTACATAATTTCATCAACGGTACTCTTTGTATACATGTACAATTTGGGCAGAAAACACGCAAAAGTTTGGCTCAACAGGCATTTGCTGTCACCGGTCAACTTCACGGCTTCACATGAATTCAAAAATTACGTTCGTTGTTCATAATCGCTGGAAGTTTTGGGGCATGTTGGTTGCCAATAACAATTCAAGCTATAACCATTGACCGCAAGAAAGATCCCGTTCAGTTTTATCGTGCATTTTGTTATACTGCTTCTTTGCCAGTTTTAAACACAATCATAGATCCTGTCGTGTATTATTTTTGGAGCATAGGTTTTCGTTTGTCACTGAAAAAGCTTAAAAACAAGATTAGAAATTCGGCATACTGCGAACGTTGCTGTTGCTAACAGGAACAAAAATAACATTGTTGCAAGTTTGCATGCAAGAAACCTTCTATTCAAAGTTTCTTGTTTGTTTGTTTTTTATCAATATCTATGTGTTCATTTTTCTAAAAATAAATGTTTTATTCCTTTGACGCTTCTCGGGAAGAACATCAATTCAATGGTGATGAGAAATGCGTCATTAAATATATTGTTTATGTATGTATATAGTATATGTATGTATACCTATATAGAGTTCTTTAAATCAATGAATGATTCTTGATGATTTGGTGCATTTTTTCTGGCGTAAGATTAATTTTTATAGGTGTATAGAGATTTATGCACAGCAGAATGATAAAATTAAAATCGTATTTCACTGTGTAAATTAATTTCAGGCAATTTGACTGGACGTACGATGTTAATCACGTGTGAAAAAAATGCATAAAATTTCGATTTTTGTTGTTTGCTGTTTTTTGTATATTAAAAGCTTGTCGTTGTCAAATTGATCTCTATACATATTTAATAAACAAATTACTTCATGGTTGGCTCGTTTGTACGATTTTTATTATGAATTCGTTGTAAAAGATCGCAAACTCACTCGTTCGCGCATAAAAATCGTACGTACTCCGGTACTCGCCAACCATGAAGTAAACTCTATTTATACAACAACTTCGAAGGTTTTAAACTTTTCCGTGCGTGCACGTATACGTGCTGTTTCACACTTTCGATTCGAAGTACTACTTTAATTTTGGACTAGCTTCCCAGAGGATGTTGGCCACACTTCTTTTTTGTACGTATTAATATTTTATCATGTCCATGCGCCAATACACGATACACAGTTCCATTGAAATGAAAAATCGTTTGGCTGCATGTGTGGGATATTTTAATTGAGTTTCAAGGAAATGGCAAGTCTTAATTATTCATCTGAGTGAGTATTATAAATTTATAAGGAAAGCCCTGAGGTGAGCGCCCGTGTAAAGTTTGGTCGAAAGATTGGTCTTGTATGAGTCATGACTAGTGACAAATGCTTTTGAAAATGCGGGCTCAACCTCCCTGTATATGTACGCCCGGGTATTTTGGTCGTGTCGAATACAATTCATACAATGCACAATGTGATGATAATGAAGTTACATTATTACTGTCCTTATAGGGGGATAGCATGATGACAAAAAAGAGAAACAAAGAATTTTTGAAAAGAATGTATAATGTATCCTATCAACACAGATCCCTCCCTTCCTTGTGGTTGTCAATTGCAACTGGAATTTTCCTTGCATTGTGAAAACTTGTGAAATTGTGAAATTTCCTTGAATTGTAAAAACTTGTGAAATTTCCTAGCATTGTGAATTAGATACACTTTCGGGCATTTCCCTTCCTCTGTTTTTTCATGTTTTTTCCTATACCGATCGATTGATCCAAAGAATATATTTATAATATAAAACCCTCCCCTAGAACTTGGATATAACCAATTGAAAAAATTCCAGAATGACTGACGTGAACAGTTGCTGTCGTCATCTAGCGTTATTACGATGTTGAATTTTACATGCATTTTTATCCCGCTTCCACGAATTCCGGCACGGAAAAGAATATATTATAATGCAAAAAAACATTACTCGAGAGAACCGGCGAAATTTATAATATAATTCTAGTTTTTCTCTTTAAGTGAATAACTGAGTATTAGGGGGACACCACGTGCTTCGTTTCCAAACTATACTTGGCGCTAGGTGATTTTAAAGTTTTTTTTTACTTGTGAAAATTAACCGAAAAAGTTAACACTGGCACTGATAAAAGCCGATGCAGCGATTTTCCACTGCTTCAACTTAGTGCAATTTTACTGGACAACTTTAGCGTCTGATAGCTTTATTCACTCTGATTAGTATTATAGGACAAAATTACATCTATATGTAAGAGGTACATGATAATATTTTTAGGACCGAAAACATTACATTTTACATTTATGTAACAATATTTTGTTTATCGTTCAATATTCTAATCATACATCTATGGAATCTATGAGATTACATCTATTTACAGTCAATCGATCATCAGAATATTATAGAGCATAACCGGTACTTTAACAGTAGTGTAGCTAGCCTGATGATTTGTCCCGCTATGCTAATATTTTGGACGTTCATTTTATAGACCTGTTCGAAAAAGAGCAAGAGACCTGAGCGAGAATTTTCTTCATAATCTGAAATCCTAAATGCATTAGAAGCATAGGCTTGGTTTATCAACCTAATTTTAGTCTAATGCAAGGCAATTGTACTTTGACCCTTTTAATGTCTTTTTGCAGGACTTTCCGCAAATGAGTTGTCCTGCAGTGATTAAGTTAACATCACCAGGCGATGTGAAGAAAACTGGTAATTACTGAGATTTCAGAGGAACACAACCACGAAGTGAATAAGATATGAAAGTATGCCAAGATTAGATGACATAATTAAATAAATCCAACAAGTGAGGCCATAATTGCAATATCATTTATACTGTAGAAATCCTTCGAACAGCTTCCAGCACAAAGATGAGTGGGAGGGGTAACTAAAGAAGATGTCTCAAAAATTTGGGAAATGAAGGCTAAGTACTGGGTATGCAGTTTTGAATATCGAATGATTATAGGGCTTTCAATTTGCTTTATTAGGTGTTAGAGTGGAATTGTACACTGACGAGGACAAAAACTTCAAAGGTCTCTTTTATCAGGATGAAGAAATGAGGTGTATATTGTTGCCTTTCCGGAAATTCTATTGATCGACGCTACCTATAAATTGAACAATCTACAATTACCTTTATATGTGATGCCACGAGGCGCGAGAACGTGTTCTTCCCGCGCGCGTGGCCGCGCCTGCTCGCGCACCCGCGTGTGCCCACACGAACACAAACAATAATATGAAAAATTTTACAAATTACAAATTACATATCTTATTCGGCCGTACGCCTTACGGTATGCCGAGGATTCAAACATCGATTTCCAATGCGAAAATAACGTTTGTTGCAATCGCTTACTGTCCCTTTATACAGGTACGATTACAAGAATCGATAAAAACCTTTATTATTGCGACATTTGAAGGAAACATTTCGATTGCAGTACGAATAGCAAATCACACTCGCCTGTCACACGGCGTACTGTTCCAGTACGAATTACCACTTCGATAATTTATTGTGAATAGCTTTTCATTAGTCCTTCCATTCTGCCTTCATGATCTGAGCAATAGTGGGAAATTTAAGGTGAGTAATAAATCACAAAATTCAAGTAACTAGATGGCAGGAGCAAATATAAACAAGACGCCGTTCTGGCGTTAACTCCGGCGCACGTGCCAGTCTTCAATATAGAGCTTCTGAACATAAACAATACAGTTCGCGTATTGTTTCGCATACATATTCGCATTTAGATGCCTTGCGAACCTAAATGTTCGATCGCGAAATTCAGAAGAACATCGCAGTATAGAAGTTCAATTGTTCAAAAATGTAAATAAACCGCATGATACATTCGCTTCGTCTTACACTTTGCCTTTGGAATTCGCGCTTATATAGTTGTATTAAATCTTCGATCCTGTGCAAACTACGCGACGTGTCAACGCGCCCATACACGACCACATCATCTTGTTAAACGGCAAAATAGCAGCGATATTATTAAAATAGGACCGGGTCTACATGTATTAAATATATTCTTACCCCAATTCAATCTAAACTTAATCGAACAGCATGAAAAGAACGGTTTATTTGTTCCTCTTGGAGGAATTGCCGTATCATGCGAGCGAAATCGAATCGCGCATTGGAAAATTAGCCAAAGCTGTGCACCACAAGTCTTGGGAGATAAGACTGGGACGTAGATAAATACGGTCACATACATGTTTGAAACACTAGTATATTTCGCGCCATTACAGACTTGCGACGACGAAAAATAATAAAAAAAAAAATAAAAAAAAAAAAACAAAAACAAAACAAAACCGGGGCGAATTTTCAACTCCGTCGCTGACGCCGGAGTAATAATGTATTAAAAATAGGTCCGCAATGCGTACATGCGCCCGCTGTTCCGCGAGGAATTCGTTTTCTCGTAAGTAAATGGTTAACATTGTGTGAAGAGTTGATTAGATTTTGGTTGAATTTTGTTGTGAATTGGGCGAGAAATTAATAAGGAAATAAAACGTTTCTCAGTAGTGGGAAGTTATAGGAATGCATAGTGATATTTTAATTATTAAATCACGCGTGCAAAGTCTGTTTTGAATCAGGCATTCACAATGAAAGATTATCTACGGATTTTTCTGTAATTGCGGTGCCCTAGCACCGCATTATAATTGCTCGGTTTTTGTTCGTTCGTTCGTTCGTCCGTCCGTCCGACCAACTTCGATAGGTATTTACCGCTTGCACATGCAAAATTGTATAAGTTACAACGCATCAGACGTCTACCGTGGGCTCGGATTTTGATCAGACCAGTTACCGTGGGCTCGGATTTTGGGGGGAATCTGGAGGATCGTAGATGTACAATAAGAGATAGAGGAAGCACTCGGGGATATGGAATCGTTGCTTTCGTGCTGAAATACATGCTTCTGAACCAGTGCACGTAAACAAACCACTATTTTGGAAAGTTCATTTTTGCGGCCAAAAAAGCTCTGATTTCGCTTATGTGTAATGCAATTAGTTTGTCTTTGGGCAATCAAGTTTTGTACGCCTACAGATTACAGCGATCGGCTGCAGAAGTGTCCATCGGCATCGTGCATTGAACGTCGACAAGCATGATGATGAAAGTGATATTGCTGAAGATTATACAAATAGACAAGTAAATGAAGAATTTCATGCGACAAATTTTTGTTTGTACTAGACTTATAATGTCATTTTAACAATTTCATCCAATATTCTGGTAATGTTTTCTGTTAAACTGTAATAATTTTTTGTTAAATAGGAATACATATCATACTGATTCTAATTTAAAATGAATTATTATATACTACTGTATTATCATTATGGTGACACTATACATTCCCAAGAAGTATAAATCCTGATTTAAATACAGTACACAGGTCCTTATTGTAGGAGTTATGAGGCAAAGCACAAACCCCTGCACTTAAACCTCCTAGTATAGCCACAATAGTCACTATAATCATTGTTTTCTCATATAGTAGACTTTAATTTGGGGAATCATATCATCAATTCCTACATGTATTAACCACCTGTGATGCATATCATGTATGCTGTTACTAATAGTCTACTATTGTTTGTACATAGTTCACATTTCACTGACAGTTTTCCTGGCAGTGAGTAAAATCATCTGATGAGGGTAATATTTAATAATAGGTTGATTCTGCCCGTTATTTTCAGCAGTTCATATTACAGGTATTATTTTTTATCAACTATTTTTTTCATTGTAAATAATTACTGCATTCGCACTAATTAAGGACGTGGCTTATAGTAAAGTTGAAATGTGTTTTACTGTATGAAATTAAAATTTTTGCTTCTCATACTCTTGTACTGATCATGTCATCAATACACCAAATTTTATATGCAGTAATATTTAATTATTAAATTCCCAATAGAAAAAGTGACCTTTCCCTTTATTAAATATAAATGATTATTAAACTACAGCAACAGGCATACAGGCAGATGCTCGCAATGCATTCTGGTTAAATGTCGCTATAATTCTGTGCCATAAATATCGCCATCTTTTTCATTTCTTTTTCACAAGTAGAGTATGTATGAACCGTCTATTGGCGATACAGGAAAAACTGACAATTATTAATAGGAAAATTTGATTTTCATGGTGAGCCCATGGTATATGAACGTTCACAACCACATTGTGGGCAACATAGCTGCATATTAAAACTGTAGTGAAGCCATCAGGCAACAGGCCTCAGCAAGGGGCACCGCATTGTACTACTTTGTCTGGTTTATTGTTAAAAGTCAGTTGTACCCTACTCATTTCGGGCTGGATACGTCCCTGCGTAACTAGATCGAATATTTAATGAGAAAGTTCCTCTAGTTTACAATATTTGATGAGGCGTGCAATGTTAGGCTTGTCGAGCTAAAGGTTCTTGGCCTTCTGGTGCTGAGTCCGTTGAGTGTCTATAGATTATAATTTTTTTTCGGATATTCTTTATAATTGTTATTGAGCGAAAAGTGGGACCGTGTAAGGCCGGCCTAATGGATAAGGAGCAGAAGTAGAGTTAATATCAAAGGGATACTTTCAGACGTTGGGCGCACAACGGAGAGACCTATATAAAGGCAGATTTCCACTAGGCGAAATTTTTCGATCGAAACGAAAATTTCCTTTGTCTCAGAAGCATTCAAGTGGAACTAATTTATGATCTATTGAATTTTGACAATAGAAACCAACTTCGGTCGAAAATTTTCGCCTAGTGGAAATCCTAGTGGAAATATTTGGTTCCACATGAGACGTTTTCGTCACATGCGCGATGATATATATGGCCCTGAACATGACCTATTTCCGGCCGCGCGGCCGTGTTAGGACACTGGGACGATTTTTCGCGATTCGGCCTTCGGCTGTTTTTTTTTGCAAATTGCACGTGCTTTATCAACATGGCAGCTAAAAAGTGGATGTAGAAGGCTTCGTCCATCGGGTTTCCGATCTGGCAATGCCAGCTAAAACTGCTGGAAGGTACTTCCATTTTGTCGTGCAAGAGAGGGACGAAAGCCGACGCGTGGTGTGCTTTTCTCCCGAGAAAAGAAACAACCTCAAACGCAAGGAAGATGACAAGTCGCCAGTGCGGTTAGTACAAGTCAGTCCACAAAAACGAAAGTTTGCAGAGGGAACGGAGTACAAGTTGGAAAAGTATTCGAAAGTCGAAGATGCCAAGAATGTTTCCTTCCCGTGGAAGGACCATAATTCGAAGTTTCTTGACGTTGCGAGTATTTTGGAGGAAGGAAAAGAAGGAGAAGTGGTTTCACTGAAAGCTGTTGTTCTGCACAAGTCAGAAGTGACAACTATTTTCTCGAATGCGTATGGAAAGAAGCTAAGAAAATGCGATCTGGTAGTGGCAGATGCGTCTGGGTCAATTGAATTGACGGTGTGGGAAGATCTTATTGCCCATGTTATCGTGGAAAAAGTGCACAAGTTCAAAGATGTCAAAGTTGCCTTGTATAGAAGCAAATGTCTGAATACTAACACTGGTTCTACCATAGTAGAATTGCCCGATGAAAAGATGAGTATAGAGGAGGAGATCGTGAAGGCAGCAATGGAGCTTGTGCCGAATGAGAAAGAAACCAGTTTATTTGTTGGCAACATTGTGGGCGTAGAAGTTAATAAAGCGTTTTTATGCGTAAATTGTAAAAGTAAGTTGGTTCATTGCAGTGATAAGTTCATAAAGTGTAAATGTTGTAAATTAAGTATGCTTAGCGGAAGTTTGGTGTCAGTTGTTACAGCAAATGTTATTATAGCAGAGGAAGGAGAAATCAAGGGTAGATTTTTCTGTTCTGAAGCAGTCATAGATGAGATGTTTAAGTCAGTCTCTGAGAAAGATGATTACAACGTAAAAGAAAGTGTTAAAAAGTTGTCTGAAGATATGATAACCGAAACCCTGTTGTTAATTGATAGAGTGAAATTCACTGTTTCTGTAGAAGAAAAGGTGGTATTGTCAATGAGGGTAGCCTAGGGTCTTAGATTTGCCTGGCGTAGGGACGGTTTTGTTAATATTATGTAAACACGTTTTTTGTTCATGAAAAAGAGTTGCACCATGGAAAGTAATAATAGGTACTGTAAGTTGTGTTTTCGTTTCTATATTGACTTGGTATGACAATATTACTGTATACAGTATAGGCACAACTTGATTCATCACATGGAATTTGTAGTCACAAATATTAAAATTACTAGTTATTCAATAAGTTTTAGTTAGCTAATAACTTATACTTTGCAATTTGTTAATAGTTATTGTTACATAAAGGTAATGAATGGTTGATATTAAACATTAAATAAAGATGAAAATAATATTTTTTGTTGATGTGTTTCTGTTTGACAGTAGCAAAATGTTTTATGATCTATGGATGCACATAATGATGCAATGAATGCATTGTTTAAGAAAATGAATGCTATGGGATCTATGCATTGTGAATTACTTAAGCTAAAATATTACATGAGTACTATATTAGAGGTAATAAATAATTAGTCTCATGAGTGTCAGTCTGGTGTGTGGTAATATGTCTTGAATTTATACTCTTCGTCCATCTGCTTTGAGAGTCAATGTTTTCCATTTGAAGATATCGATCGAAGATGGATT